GTAGTCTCTTAAAATGAACTACCTTTTTTTTTTAATCTCAACGGGCGGATTTTAACGTAGCATTCATTCTTGTTGGACAATAGTTACAGATCATCTCTGCATATTGAAATGAAACTCTTGTAGTTCCCCTGTTAAGATCAACTGTCCATCCAACAATTATAAATTTTTCTTCGGAAAGGTTATTAGACAACCCCCAAAAAACAACATCATTTTTGAATGTAAATATATTAATATATTTTTCAAATCAACACTCATAAATAAATATTACATATTAAAATATATTTATTTAGTAAAAATTCAATACCTAATTTGCATAGATGGTGAATTCATAAAAATTGGGGTTTAAAAATTACGTTGAATTAAAAATATTTACTTGTCAATTTAAAAAATACTGTTTACTATTTCATATTTTCAAAAAAAATACAAATTCCGAGAATTGATACTATTAAATTGTGCGTTAATTTGTTCATCTGATAAACGTTCAAATTCTTTTGGGAGTTTTTCATCATAATTTAAATTCATAGTATTGTTAAATTTGGCGGGTTGAGGTGGAGTGTTAGTATTATTGACAATGTTGTCATCATCATTAATAGGAAGAGGATTAAAATTAGACGAAGTAGAATACGAATGAAAAGAAGTGGAAGGATTAAAAAAAGTGAAAGATAATGAGCTTGGATTATCGCTTATAAAAGAAGAAAAAGAAGGGTATGGATAAGGTAGTGTTGAAACCGTGCAATTGTTATTATTGCTATCATCTTTTTCTTTTTGTTGTGGTTCTTGTTGTTGATGAGACAAGCTTGAATTATAGTTTGTATATAAGTAATGTGATGATGAATCTATATAATCTGCATTATTATCATATATTTGTATTTGTTGTGGCTCTAGTTGTCGATAAGACGAGCTTAAATTATCATCCGTACAAGGAAAATAGGAAGTGGAAGGTGGTGGAAGAAAGGGAGTGGAAAATAATGAAATTGTGTTATTATTGCAATTTTCTTTTTGTTCTTTTTGTGCTTCTTGTTCTTGAGAAATAAATAAATAATTCTTTGGTACTTGAATGATACTTTCATAAACCGACTTGTGTTTTTCATAAACTAAATTGTGTTTTTCAAAAGCCAGCTTTGCTAATATTTTAAAGTAACGTTTTACTTCGTCCGATTCATTCTTCCAGGCATAACCAGCTTCCTTTGAAAGAGTTTTCCAATCCTTTTTACTCTCAAGAGATTTATGTTTTGCAGCATAATTTTTGCGGTATAAGAGAAAAGCGTTTTGGGATCTTGGAATATCTATGGAATCAACATTATTAGGATTGGGTGAAATGAGTTGAATCATTTGCACGTGTAGTTGACAAGGAGGATTGAAGAGAAAGCTAGTCTGATCACTGTCAAGTCGTGCTTTATTAACATATAATAATATTTCAGGATTCATATTGTTGCGTTAAATATGTTATTGTTTATTTAAAATGATAAGTTTTTTTATTCGAATTTGTGATATTTACAAATTTATTAATTATTGAAAATATTTTTATTAATAAAATTTTTATCGAATTTTTATAACTTTATATATGTGAAAATAAACCAAATGACCAAATGAATCGAATTAGTCATATGACTAAAATAATTATAATTGTACAGCGGATCGTTTAAAAAAAATAATACTTTTTAAATATATTTTACTTTCTGTAATATTTCTATAATATC